ATTATTAGCAGTATTATTATTAGCAGTATTATTAGCAGTATTATTAGCAGTGTTATTAGCAGTATTATTATTAGCAGTATTATTAGCAGTATTATGAGCAGTGTTATTAGCAGTATTAGCAGTATTATTAGCAGTATTATTAGCAGTATTATTATTAGTATTATTAGCAGTGTTATTAGCAGTATTAGCAGTATTATTAGCAGTATTATTAGCAGTATTATTAGCAGTATTATTAGCAGTGTTATTAGCAGTATTAGTATTATTATTAGCAGTATTATTATTAGTATTATTAGCAGTATTATTAGCAGTATTATTAGCATACCTTCTGCGTACACTGCCTGACGGTGTTGACGAGCTCACTGATCACCATGTCGACACATTTCTGACACGGTTCTTTGATCTGAGCGATCAGACGCTTCACAATCGTCTCAAACGCCATATCAGGAGTAAACAGACCCGTCCTGTAACACAGGTGAGTACAGGTGAGTTACTGTAACACAGGTGAGTTACTGTCAGGTACTGCAAGAAAAGTACACACAGTACACACACACAGGACAAGCAAACACACGCTCACACACACAGTACACACACACACACACACAGTACACACAAACACACGCTCACACACACACACACACACACACACACACACACAGTACACACACACAGTACACACACAGTACACACAGTACACACAGTACACACACACACACACACACACACACACACAGTACACACAGTACACACACACACACACACACACACACACAGTACACACACACAGTACACAAACAGTACACACAGTACACACACAGTACACACACACACACACACACACACAGTACACACAGTACACACACACAAACACACACACACACACACACACACACAGTACACACAGTACACACACACACATACACACACAGTACACACACACACATACACACACAGTACACACACACACACACAGTAGGTCACCTGATCCCGTGGATGTTTTTGATTGCGTAGCTGATTTCTTTACGAAGAGTTTTCTCGTCGCTCTCCAACTGAAGACACACACATATATTTACTTATGTGACGTATGGGGACATCTGAATACTTACTAAAACACAGCCACACTCATCATTGATTATATGTCTATATTACATTATATTATATTATATATATTAAATATATTATATTGTATAACCCTTGCAGCTGTGATCAGTAAGGTGACATCTAAATGGAACGCTGCCACCTGCTGTTGTAAATGTGAAACTGCAGTCGTAATAGCAACTGATTATTACTCATCAATAATCTGATGTTAACCCAGACCCCTTACCACAGAACCCTAACCTGAACCACAGAACCCAAACCACAGACCCCTAACCACAGACCCCTAACCACAGACCCCAAACCACAGACCCCAACCACAGAACCCTAACCACAGAACCCTAACCTGAACCACAGAACCCAAACCACAGACCCAAACCACAGACCCCTAACCACAGAACCCAAACCACAGACCCCTAACCACAGACCCCTAACCACAGACCCCAACCACAGAACCCTAACCACCGAACCCTAGCCTGAATCACAGACCCAAAAATCAGTGTTTGTCTAAGTGAGGACAGGTTGTGACCCAGTTAACTGAGTTTTACTCTGTACTGTGTCCCCTGATGGTAGCCTATGTCAGACCGACAACAGACACATTTATACCTCAGCTTTAATATATATTATCACAACAGCGGCTGCGTCCCATTTAGCTTTATTAGTTCAACCATCATAAGTGTGTGTCTGTGTGTGTGTGTGTGTGTGTGTGTGTGTGTGTGTGTGTGTGTGTGTGTGTGTGTGTGTGTGTGTGTGTGTGTGTGTGTGTGTGTGTGTGTGTGTGTGTGTGTGTGTGTGTGTGTGTGTGTGTGTGTGTGTGTGTGTGTGTGTGTGTGTGGGGTACCTTGACCAGTTCGAAGGGGAAGCGTTCATGGAAGATTCGGTTGATCTTCGCTCCTCCTGACAGCTCGTAGGTTTCCACCTGATCTCCAGATCCTTCGATCCGCTTCTCAAAGTCCACCGCGAACTGCTGCACCATCCTACCACACACACACACACACACACACACACACACACACACACACACACACAGACAAACACACAGACACACACACAGACACACACACACCATATATGTGTATTACTGTATTATTACTGTATATAATACTGTATTATTACTGTATTATTACTTCATATTACTGTATATTACTGTGTATTACTGTATATTACTGTATTATTACTGTGTATTACTGTATATATATTACTGTGTATATTACTGTATTATTACTGTATTATTACTGTATATATTACTGTATATTACTGTGTATTACTGTGTATATTACTGTATTATTACTGTATATATTACTGTATATTACTGTGTATTAATGTGTATATTACTGTATTATTACTGTATATATTACTGTATATATAACTGTATTATTACTGTATATTACTGTGTATTACTGTAAATATATTACTGTATGTATTACTGTAAATATATTACTGTATATTACTGTGTATATATTACTGTGTATATATTACTGCAATTACTGTGTATTATTACTGTATATTACTGTGTATTACTCTATCTTACTGTGTATTATTACTGTATATATAACTGTATATTACTGTAAATATATTACTGTGTATTACTGTGTATATATTACTGCAATTACTGTGTATTATTACTGTATATTACTGTGTATTACTCTATCTTACTGTGTATTATTACTGTATATATAACTTATATTTGTAAATATATTACTGTTAACGATATATTACTGCATTGTGTATTATTACTTATATTACTTTTACTATTTTTTATTATTACTGTATATTACTGTAAATATATTACTGTGTATTACTGTGTATATATTACTGTGTATTATTATTGTATATTACTGTGTATATATTACTGTGTATTACTGTGTATTATTACTGTATAGTACTGTGTATATATTACTGTGTATTACATACATTACTGTGTACTACTGTGTATATATTACTGTGTATTACTCTATCTTACTGTGTATTATTAATGTATGTATAACTGTATATTACTGTAAATATATTACTGTGTATTACTGTGTATATATTACTGTGTATTATTATTGTGTATTACTGTGTATATATTACTGTGTATTACATACATTACTGTGTATTACTGTGTATATATTACTGTGTATTATTATTGTATATTACTGTGTATTACTATGTATATTTTACTGTGTATTACTGTATATTACTGTGTATATATTACTGTGTATATATTACTGTGTATATATTACTGTGTATTATTGTTGTATATTACTGTGTATTACTGTATATTACTGTGTATATATTACTTTGTATTACTGTGTATTACTGTATATTACTGTGTATTACTATGTATAAATTACTGTATATTACTGCATATTACTGTGTATATATTACTGTGTATTACTGTGTATTACTATATATATATTACTGTATATTACAGTGTATATATTACTGTGTACTACTATGTATATATTACTGTATATTACTGTGTATATATTACTGTGTATTACTGTATATTACTGTGTATTACTATGTATATATTACTGTATATTACTGTATATTACTGTGTATATTACTGTGTATTACTGTATATTACTGTGTATATTACTGTATCATTACTGTATATATATATTACTGTGTATATATTACTGCATATTACTGTATTATAACAGTATATTACGGTATATATGACTGTGTATTACTGTGTATTATTACTGTGTATTACTGTATATATCACTGTATATATTACTGTATATATTACTGTGTATTACTGTATTTTTACTGTATATATTACTGTGTATATCACTGTATATATTACTGTGTATATTACTGTATTTGTACTGTATATATTACTGTATATATTACTGTGTATTACCTTATATTACTGTATATTACTGTGTATTACTGTATTATTACTGTATATATTACTGTGTATTTCTTTGTATTACTGTAATATTACTGCATATATTACTGTGTATTACTTTGTATTACTGTATTATTACTGTATATTACTGTATATATTACTGTATTGTTACTGTATATATAACTGTGTATATCACTGTATATTACTGTATATTACTGTATATATTACTGTGTATTACTGTATATATATTACTGTGTATTACTGTGTATATATTACTGTGTATTATTATTGTATATTACTGTGTATTACTATGTGTTACTGTGTATATATCACTGTGTATTATTATTGTATATTACTGTATATTACAGTGTATATATTACTGTGTATTACTATGTATATATTACTGTGTATTACTGTATATTACTGTGTGTATATTACTGTGTATATATTACTGTATATTACTGTGTATTACTATGTATATATTACTGTGTATTACTGTATATTACTGTGTGTATATTACTGTGTATATATTACTGTATATTACTGTGTATTACTATGTATATATTATTGTATATTACTGTATATTACAGTGTATATATTACTGTGTATTACTATGTATATATTACTGTGTATTACTGTATATTACTGTGTATATATTACTGTGTATTACTATGTATATATTACTGTGTATTACTGTATATTACTGTGTATATATTACTGTGTATTACTGTATATTACTGTGTATATTACTGTGTATTACTGTGTATTACTATGTATATATTACTGTATCATTACTGTATATATATATTACTGTGTATATATTACTGCATATTACTGTATTATAACTGTATATTACTGTATATATGACTGTGTATTACTGTAGATATTACTGTTTATTATTACTGTGTATTACTGTATTATTACTGTATATATTACTGTATATATCACTGTATATATAACTGTATATTACTGTGTATTACTGTATTATTACTGTATATATTACTGTGTATATTACTGTATATTACTGTGTTATTACTGTATATATTACTGTAAATATATTACTGTATATTACTGTATATATCACTGTATATATTACTGTATATATCACTGTATATATTGCTGTATATTACTGCATATATGACTGTGTATATTACTGTATATGACTGTGTATATTACTGTATATTACTGTGTATTATTACTGTATATTACTGTGTATATATTTCTGTGTATATATTACTGTATATTACTGTATATATCACTGTATATATTACTGTATATGACTGTGTATTATTACTGTATATTACTGTGTATATATTTCTGTGTATATATTTCTGTGTATATATAACTGTATATTACTGTATATATCACTGTATATATTACTGTATATCACTGTGTATATTACTTCATATTACTGTGTATTACTGTATATTACTGTATTATTACTGCATGTATTACTGTATATCACTGTATATATTACTGTATGTTACTGTGTATATATTACTGTATATTACTGTGTATATTACTGTGTATCACTGTATATATTACTGTATTTATTACTGTGTATATTACTGTATATATTATTGTATCATTATTGTATTACTGTATATTACTGTATATTACTGTATATATTACTGTATATATTACTGTATTATTAATATATATTACTGTATATATTACTGTGTATTACTTTATATTACTGTATATATTACTGTGTATATTACTGTATTATTACTGCATATATTACTGTGTATTACTGTATATATTACTGTGTATTACTTTATATTACTGTATATATTACTGTGTATATTACTGTATATATTACTGTGTATTACTTTATATTACTGTATATATTACTGTGTATATTACTTTATATATTACTGTGTATTACTGTATATTACTGTATATATTACTGTGTATATTACTTTATATATTACCTTGTATTACTGTATATTACTGTATGATTACTGTGTATATTACTGTATATATTACTGTGTATTACTGTATATTACTGTATATATTAAATATTAGTTACTTATATTAGTACTCGCAGTATTATGTGTATATCTGGAGTATACTGACTGAAGCAGGGCCTTGGTTTTGCGTCCCGGGTCGTCCGGTCTGAAGTTCTTGTACTCCTCTACCTCCTTCTCGATGGACAGCAGCTGGCTCTGCAGTTTGCTGCGTAACCCCGGCAATGTGTCCCGGATGTGGTTGGTCAGTTGCTATGGGCAATGGAGAAAGGCTTTGTTACTACTGTTATGGAAGAAGCAGAGAACCTGACCTGAAAGGACTTCCTTACCTGGTTGAGGACTTTCTGCAGGATGGCGGTGCCCATGCGGTCAGCCAGGTGTCGGTACGACGGGTGCGACAGGAAGAACTTCCTCTCGGCCTGCAGGGCAGCGTTGATGTCTTTCTTCCCGTCGATGTCTTTCTGACTGCGGTTCACCACCCCGATGTAACCTGAACCAGATCAGGGTCTGTTACTAGGACTCCAGGGGCCTCATGTACTAACGTTGGATATGCACAAAATTCGTGCATACGCCATTTTTCACATTCACGTTTGGATGTACTAAAAGTGAAATGAACGTGAGAATGTGCGGTCCTCCACGGCAGCTTCATTGCTGGCGTACGCACATATTTTTGGCTTATGTCGGTTGTCAATTGGCGACACTGACAAGTGATGCATCGAAATTGCATAGCCGAAACTGACAGTTGCTCTCGGGACAGTTGCACTGCATGCGAAAGTCATTATTATTTACAATCAATCAAGCCATTACACAATTTAAAATCATTTGCAGATTATTTGTGTTAAGGGGTTATTTACTGCAGCGCGCAGTCCTCTACTGCGTATGGAGGATAAGTAGAATATCTTCAGCCTCTTGGCATTTTTATTTAACAGTTAACAATAAAGTGCGGACTGATGTGCTCCGTAAAGTTTATTTTTTCCTGGCTTTTGCCATTTTCCTAAAGACAGCACTATCTAGGCCTATTTATACCAATTAGCATATTCAAATTGGTGTATTTGAGGGAGGGGACAGGGTGGAGCGTTGTGCGCGTCCATTTGCGCTCAATTTCATTGAGATGTACAAAGACAATGTGTGTGGGATTCTGCGTACGCACATTTTGATACATCTGATTTTTTTTGTGCGTACGGAACTTTCACTCTTTCAGTGTACGCCACATTCTAGTAGGAAATCCACGCAAGTCTTAGTACATGAGGCCCCAGCTCTCTACCTCACTGCTCAGGGATCAACCCAGGGTCCTGTATCATAGTAGTCCAGCTTTATGTCCTGATGATTCATCCTGCAGTTTAATTGGCTCCAAGTTGAAATATCTCCAATCAATTATTCTGTGCAGTTATTGATCGGTTCGTCCAGGAAGTGATCGCAGCACAGATTCGACCAATCCCTGTGAACTCTGGGTAACATTGTAGTTTCCTGTTACATTCTCCTGCTGTAGATGTTGAACCTTCATTGCATTAAAATAATTTATGGTTAAAAGGTCAATGAAGATTTGAGAGCTGGGATTTTCTACTACAAGTGAATGTCACACCAGTTAATTTAAACATCAATAAAAAAGAACACTTGTATTGAAGGTTCCTCCAGGAACCAACTAGCAAGGCTCCTTGAATTTTCCCAGAGTTCTTTGAGGCTCTCGTCAATTGAACTGTTTGTTTGTAATAGTTTATTGATCTAAATGTATAACTCAACATGCATCAGTTTAATATAAAGCCACACAAATCTGGAGGGTCAGAACAAACCCTTCAACACATGGCTGCAGGTTCTGGATCAGAGGTCAGACCAGGAAATGAGAGACCTGGTTATTGTGTCTCATAATAAAGTTTAAATTATTATTATTAAATTATAAATTTAAATAAATATTGTCTGTCTGATGAGCTGTATAAAGCATCTCTACCTCTACGCAGCGGCAGCAGCTTGTTCTCAAGGATGTCTCTGGCGTCAGTTCCTTCGTCCATCAGATCCAGTTTGGTGATCACACCGATGGTCCTCAGACCTGAACACACATTCAAAAAGCTTTATTCAAACCAACCAAAGACAGTGGACCCCCACCACTCATAATTTCTGTGGTGGTTTTGGGTCTCTATGTCATCATTTTAAGTATCTGTGGTGGTTTTAGGTCTATGTGGCAGTTTTGGGTCTATGTGGTGGTTTTAGGTCTATGTGGTGGTTTTGGGTCTATGTGGTGGGTTTGGGTCTTTGTGGCGGTTTTGGGTCTGTGTGGCAGTTTGGGTCTTTGTGGTGGTTTTTGGTCTATGTGGTGGTTTTGGGTCTATGTGGTGGTTTTTGGTCTATGTGGTGGCTTTGGGTCTTTGTGGTGGTTATGGGTCTGTTTGAACCCTGTGCTCCTGTTCCCAAAGGTGAAGAGGATTCTGACCTTGCGGGTCGACCTCTTTGGCAATCTTCAGAGCGTCAGAGTTGGCGAGGTCAGAGTTGGCGGGGGAGACGGCCAATAGGAGGCAGTTGTCCTTGGTAACGAACTGCATGAGCATTTCTCTGATCTGGTGCTCGATGTCGGCCGGCTGGTCGCCCACCGGGACCTTCGTCATCCCGGGAAGATCCACCAGAGTCAGGTTGAGCACTGACAGCACAAACAGGTCGACACACATTGAGATTTATGAAGTTTCTAACGTAATAAACAAAGTTTCACACATATAAACGTCAGGTGATGGGTGTTTCAAAATAAAAGTGTGTTACCGTTTGGGGAGTATACCCTCAGGTTGATCGGCACCGGGCTGATCCCTTTGTTCTGTCCGGTGATTCGATCAGTTTCAGCTTCAATCTCCTGACGAACTTCATCAAAGTCTGTGAACTTCTTCCCTTTACAGTGCAGGAACTCCGCGTACTCTGATCATCAATAATCAATAATCAGTCACATGATCAGGTTCACAGTGTTAATCAGACTCTTTTAGTTCAACCAATCACAATCAATCACAATCAATCACTCTGATTGATTCAGCAGTACATGGACTGAGCCGCTCTTGCTCCTAAGACACAGACAGGAAACAGTCTCACCTGTTGGACAGTTGATGAGCTGCAGCACCAGAGGGCGCCGAGTCACTATACCTGAACCCCGAGGGAGGAAGTCTCTGAGAGAGGAGGAGGAGGAGGAGGAGAAACATTGATTGAGATATTGTTAAGTTCTTGATGATGATGATGATGATGATGATGATTGTGTGTGATGAAGATGTCACTCGGTGCCATACCGCTGTGATGCTGCTTCAAAAGCCTCTTGGACCCAACAGGAAGTCAGCCATTTTTAATTGTATATGGAATTATGTTATGTTATATTATATTATATTACATTATATTATATTATATTATGTTATATTATATTATATTATATTATATTATATTATGTTATGTCATGTTATATTATATTATATAATGTTATATTATATTATATTATATTATGTTATGTCATGTTATATTATATTATATAATGTTATATTATATTATATTATGTTATGTCATGTTATATTATATTATATAATGTTATATTATATTATATTACATTATATTATGTTATATTATATTATGTTATGTCATGTTATATTATATTATATAATGTTATATTATATTATATTACATTATGTTATGTTATATTATATTATATTATGTTATATTATATAATGTTATGTTATGTTATATTCTATTCTATTCTATTATAATGTTATGTTCAATTCAATTCAGTTCAATTTTATTTGTATAGCGCCAATTCATAACAGAAGACATCTCAGGACACTTTTCAAATAGAGCAGGTCTAGACCGAACTCTTTATAACATTAATTACAGAGACCCAACAGTACCACCATGAGCAAGACCTTGGAGACAAGGGCAAGGAAACACTGCCTGTTAAAAGGCAGAAACCTAGGACAGATCCTCCGGCTCTAGGTGGGTGGTCATCTGTCTCGACCAGTTGGGGTGAGAGAGAGAGAGAGAGAGAGAGAGAGAGACAGACAGACAGACAGACAGACAGACAGGTGCACAGCAACAACAGTATTGGCAATGGCAGTCAAGCAGGACCATGGCAGGAGGCTCCACCAGGATCGATAACAACCTGCGAGACGAGAAAGCACAAGAACTCCGGGGAAGAAGTGAAGTTAGTAACATGCATTAATGGAACATGAATGAGTGCAGAAAGAGAGAGAGAGGAAGAGAGGAGCTCAGTGCACCATGGGAAATCCCCCGATAGTCTAGGCCTATAGCAGCATAACTAAGGGATGGTTCAGGACTCACCTGATCCAGCCCTAACTATAAGCTTTATCAAAGAGGAATGTCTTAAGCCTACTCTTGAAAGTGGTGAGGGTGTCTGCCTCCAGAACCACAACTGGAAGCTGGTTCCACAGGAGAGGAGCTTGGTAACTGAAGGCTCTGGCTCCTGTTCTACTTTTAGAGACTATAGGAACCACAAGTAGCCCAGCATTCAGAGAACGTAGTGTTCTAGAGGGGTAATAGGGTACTATGAGCTCTTTAAGATATGAAGGGGCCTGACCATGAAGAGCTTTATAGGTGAGGAGGAGGATTTTAAATTCTATTCTACATTTTACAGGGAGCCAGTGCAGAGAAGCTAGTACAGGAGAGATGTGATCTCTTTTTCTAGTTCCTGTCAGTACTCGTGCTGCAGCGTTCTGAATTAATTGGAGCGTTTTAATGGACTTATTGGGGCAACCTGATAATAAAAAGTTGCAGTAATCCAGCCTTGTTATATTATATTATATTATATTATATTATGTTATATTATGTTATATTATGTTACATTATATTATATTATATTATATTATATTATTTTACGTTACGTTACGTTATGTTACGTTAGTTTCTGCAGCGCGAGGAGAAACATTGTCACGACATCCTCACAGAGTGTGTGTGTGTGTGTGTGTGTGTGTGTGTGTGTGTGACTGCAGGGAATCACACTGCAGCTGTCCACACACACACACACACACACACACACACACACACACACACACACACACACACACACACACACACACAGACTCTCTCTGTTATTGTCATGTGATGCTGCTGAGTCATGTGACTGACAGGACCAATCAGACAGAGTGAACCTCCTCATCCTCAGGGTGAAGATCAAGATAAATATATTCAGCCAATCAGCTTCCAGCAGCACAGTGTGTGTGTGTGTGTGTGTGTGTGTGTGTGTGTGTGTGTGTGTGTGTGTGTGTGTGAATGTACAGTATTGATCCAGCATACAGACAGCTGATAACTGATTGATTCATTGATATCTTTGAGCTCAGAACTGTCTCAATGATTTGGTGGAATATTAATGTTTTATTAATATTAATATATTAACATTAACATGTTGTATTAATATTAATATTCATAAAATAAGATAATATTATTATTAACATTCATATTAACAACACATTTATACGTTTTATTAATCAACAAAACATTAATAAATTAATATGAATAAAACATATATATATATAATATTAATGTTTTAATCATGTTTTTATTTGCCCTGAGTTTTGTCTGAAGGATCTTCCACCAATCACAGAGCTCGTTACAGATCAGAACAGGAAGCTGTAGATCTGATTAAGGGTCCCGGAGTCCCAAACCTCCAGGGGCCCAACAATCTGTGATCTGTGGGGGGTTCTCGGCATTAAATGACGGTCTTCAGGAGGATCCTGATCCAGCAGCTGGATTTCACAGTTATTGATCTTTACTGTAAATTATAATAAATCAGATTCAGGGCTCCTTTACTGGTCTGATGTCTCTGTTAGAGTCCTGATATATATTATGTATCGTATATAATAATATAATAATAAAATAAAACTACAGTAAAGTCTCTATAGATCCAGAGTTTGTCTGTTCTGGGCTCCTGTAGAAACATGGAGGTCCAACATGGCGGACTCCACCAGAAGAGGAGCCGCTCCCTCTGTAGATAAAAACGTCTCATTGTAACAAACACAGTGATTCTTATTATCAGCTGATTAAACACTAATGAACACAAACCTATAGATATATTCTTATTATTATTATTATTATTATTATCATTCTTTTAATTTGATTGACTGGAGCTTTAACCACAACATCCACAGAAACTAAACCGGTTAATATTCTACAACATTATAATTATATTATTATTATTATTATTATTATATTATATTGATATCCATTTATTCAGCGGGTCAGCCGGCCTGCAGTCAGCCGGACGGCTCCATCTGACAGCGGCTTTACAGCTACAGGAGGACCGGCTCGGCTCGGCTCGGTTCGGTTCGGTTCGGTTCAGACAGGCAGAAATATAGACAGTGAGACAGGCAGGCAGACAGACAGACAGACAGACAGGGACTCACTTGCCCACGAAGTTCTCCAGCACCGAGCTCTTCCCGGCGCTCTGCCCGCCCACCACCGCGATCTGCGGCAGGTCCAGGTCCGAGTTCTGACCGATGGAGCCGAACGCGTCCTGGAGCTGGTTCACCAGCGGGATCAGGTCCTCCATACCCCGGTTCCCCATGGTAGACAGACAGGTAGCGAGAGACAGGCAGGTGGACGAGCTGCTGGTGGACACTCAGTCAGACAGACAGGCGGCAGTGAGACAGGCAGAGATGCAGCAGCTGTCTCCCTCCTCCTGTCTCACGCGGTCCTCGTGCAGCTGATGGATCCGATCAGCTGATCGATAATCCCTCAGATATTGATATCGATGATGATGATGCTGCTGTGACCTTCAGCTCCGCTGTCCTCCTCTTCCTCCTCTTCTCTCCTCCGCTGCAGGGACGGACCAACACACACACACACACACACACACACACACACACACACACACATCCGGTAAGGACCTTAACAATAAAAGCTGGCAAGCCCGCTGGACATTAAAACATCTGGAGTTTGTCTTTATTGTCTTTTACTTCTGAAAACTATCAGATCAATAACACCAATAACTTATCAATGACCTCAACAGTTACAAAATAAAAAGAGGAGGTCGATCAGTTCATCATCATCAATATTGATTATAATCAATATGAATCAGAATAAAAAAACATTTTGAAAGAAATTATAACTAATATAATCAATAACTGTATTAGAAACATGTTGATAGATTTCTTTGTCTTTATAATCTTTGTATTCATCATTAACAGTTTGAATTCAGATATTTCTGAACTATAAATAAATAACAAACTTTATTGATTATAAATAAATTATAATCAATATTTATATTGATCCTTTTATTATCTGACCTCAGTCCTCTAAAAGGGATCAGTTATTATCAACGACCTACTGTTGATACGTGAAGTCATTGGTTAGTTTTCTTTATAATTATTTTTATGTTTTTGTTGACTAATAACAATATTAATAATTATTAATAATATAATCAATAATAATAGAATCAATAATAATAATAAAACAATTATAATATCTCATAAAGTGGATGATTGTTTTAAATCAAAATAACGCTGGTTAAAATAACTCTGCGCTTTATTGTGAAAGGTAGAGGCTGACTTCCGTTGTTTACCTGCAGCAGTTTGACAGGTGAGCAGGGAGCTGATGAAGATGATGAAGAAGATGATGCAGATGATGCAGAGCTACAGTTCATCATCAGTACAAAGGGAGGAGCTACAGCAGCTTCACTCTCACATCCAGTTATTGATGATCATAAATGATTGCTTGATTATTGACTCACTGATCAATCATATCCCCTCTGCAGTCGGTGCTGCGTTCAGGTCCCATTCAATTCACTGTAATTTACAGTTACTGACTGATGACATCACAAACACATGCAGCAGTCACATGATGTCACTGATTGATTAATTATTGATTACTTACAGTATCTCACATTCTATCTTTTGATTTGAACAGTGAAGTAAAGACTCTTTGATACAATATAAAGTCGTCAGTGTACAGATTGTATAACAGTATAATATATATATATATATATATATATAATGGGGTTAGGATTCCTTCAGTGTTCATGGTTCAGGAGGTTTCTACCGGGAGCCCAATGATCCACAGAGGTCTCCTCCTCTCCAACACAAACAGACCCGCTGATTAAAACTACTAAACACACTGAATAAAGCAGTTCCACCTTAAAAATCACAGAATAAAGCAGTTCAACCTTAAAAATCAGTATAGCACCAATTAATAACAGAAGTTATCTCAAGACAGACAGACAGAGAGACAGAGAGAGAGAGAGAGAGAGAGACAGACAGACAGACAGACAGAGAGAGACAGACAGATAGGTGCACAGCAACAACAGTAGCAACAACTACACTAATAGTAGTGACTGATGATGATGAACATGAAGAAGACGATGACGACAACAGCAACGATGGGGGACAATGAGCAGTGACAACAGAAACAACAGTAACCGTAGCTATAATAATACTTATAATAATAATAACAATAATATCAGTGATATTAGCAATGGCAAGTCAAGCAGGACCATGGCAGGAGGCTCCACCAGGATCCATGGGAACCTGCGAGACGAGAAAGCACAAGAACTCCGGGGAAGAAGTTCAATTCAATTCAATTCAATTCAATTTTATTCGTATAGCGCCAATTCATAACAGAAGTTATCTCAGGACACTTTTCAAATAGAGCAGGTCTAGACCGAACTCTTTAAAACATTAATTACAGAGACCCAACAGTACCACCATGAGCAAGACCTTGGAGACAAGGGCAAGGAAACACTGCCTGTTAAAAGGCAGAAACCTAGGACAGATCCTCCGGCTCTAGGTGGGTGGTCGTCTGTCTCGACCAGTTGGGGTGAGAGAGAGAGAGAGAGAGAGAGAGAGAGAGACAGAGAGAGACAGAGAGACAGAGAGACAGACAGGTGCACAGCAACAACAGTATTGGCAATGGCAATCTAGCAGGACCATGGCAGGAGGCTCCACCAGGATCAACAAGAACCTGCGAGACGAGAAAGCACAAGAACTCCGGGGAAGAAGTGAAGTTAGTAACATGCATTAATGTGACCAGTGATGACATGTATAGCCGCATGTCGTCATTCCACCGCTGGCTGTCGAGGTGGTGTCCAGCAAACGATGTGGGCTTCATTGATAACTGGAAGCCTTTTTGGGGAAAACCTGGTCTGATTAGGAGAGACGGCATCCATCCCACTTTGGATGGAGCGGCTCTCTTATCTAGAAATATGGCGAAGTTTATCTCTAAAACCTGACAGTCCAGAGTTGGGACCAGGAAGCAGAGCTGCTGTCTTACACACTTCTCTGCTCTTTCTTTAGAACAGTCACCCACCCAAAACCCCATAGAGACTGTGTCTGTCCCCCGACCACCTAAATTATTTAAAGAAATAAAAACAAGAGGAGTTCAACATAAAAATCTAATAAAAATTAAAACCAACTCCTCAGTAGCACAAAATAAGAGAATGAAATGTGGGCTGTTAAATATCAGGTCTCTGTCCTCTAAAGCTGTTTTAGTGAATGAATTAATATCAGATTATGATATTGATTTACTTTGTCTTACTGAGACCTGGTTGTCCCACGAGGAGTATGTTAGCCTAAATGAATCCACCCCCCAGTCATATTAATACTCACATTCCTCGAGGCACTGGCCGAGGAGGTGGAGTGGCAGCCATATATGATTCGAGCGTTTTAATGGACCCTAAACCTAAACTAAATTATAATTCATTTGAAAGCCTTGTTCTTAGTCTTTCTCACCCAAACTGGAAAACACTGCAGCCAGTTCTATTTGTTATAGTGTACCGCGCTCCTGGACCGTACTCTGATTTTATATCAGAATTCTCAGAGTTTTTTTCAAGTTTAGTCCTTAAATCAGATAAAGTAATTATTGTAGGTGATTTTAATATTCATGTGGATGTTGACAATGACAGCCTTAGTAATGCATTTATATCATTAATAGACTCAATTGGCTTCTGTCAGAGTGTAAATAAACCAACTCATTGTTTTAATCACACTCTTGACCTTGTTTTATCATATGGCATTGATATTGAACATTTAATAGTCTTCCCACATAATCCTTTCCTATCTGACCATTATTTAGTAACTTTTGAATTCATACTATTAGATTATAAGCCATTAGGCAAAACTTCCTACAGCAGATGTCTATCTGACAGTGCTGTAGCTAAATTTAAGGAGGAGATTCCTTCAGTGTTTAATTCAATGCCATGTCTGAATTTAACAAAGTCCTATAACGACTTTAGTCCCTCTGAAATTGATAATCTTGTCGATAGTGCTACAGGCTAACTACGATCAACATTAGACTCTATCGCTCCTATAAAAAGGAAATTATTAAAACATAGGAGACTAGCACCTTGGTATAACCACCAAACCCGCCAGTTAAAACAAATAGCTAGAAAATCTGAAAGGAAATGGCGCTCTTCCAAATGATCAGAATATCGCTCAATTTGGCTTGATAATCTTAAAACCTATAGAAAGGCCCTCCGTAATGCCAGAGGAGCCTATTACTCAGCACTAATAGAAGAAAATAAGAATTACCCTAGGTTCCTCTTCAGCACTGTAGCCAGGCTGACAGAGAGTCACAGCTCTATTGAGCCACATATCCCCATAAACTTAAGTAGCAATGACTTCATGAGCTTCTTTTATAATAAAATTATTACTATTAGAGAGAAAATTAATCACCAACTGCCATCAACAGTTATCAGTGGCTCTCCAAGTTCAGGGACTTCTGTCAATGTAAACTTAGATATATATTTAGACTGTTTTTCTGCTATCGATCTTCATCAGTTAACTTCAATCATTTCTTCATCGAAGCCATCAACCTGTCTATTAGACCCGATCCCAACTAGGCTGCTTAAAGAAGTTGTTCCCTTAATTGGCACTTCTTTACTGGATATGATTAATCTTTCTTTATTATCAGGATATGTACCACAGTCCTTTAAAGTAGCTGTAATTAAACCCCTTCTTAAAAAGCCCACTCTTGACCCAGGGGTTTTAGCCAACTATAGACCAATCTCTAACCTCCCCTTCCTCTCTAAGATTCTGGAGAAAGTAGTCGCCAAAGAGTTGTGTGACTTTTTACATAACAATAGTTTATTTGAGGATTTTCAGTCAGGATTTAGAGTTCATCACAGCACAGAGACAGCTCTGGTTAATGTTAATAATGACCTTCTGATTGCTTCAGACAATGGACTTGTCTCTGTACTTGTATTATTAGATCTTAGTGCTGCATTTGACACCATTGACCATAATATTCTTTTACAGAGACTTGAGCATCAAATTGGCATTAAAGGAACTGCCCTAAGCTGGTTTAAGTCATATTTATCAGATCGTTGTCAGTTTGTACATGTTAACGATGAATCCTCCATAAATACTAAAGTTAGTCATGGAGTTCCACAAGGTTCTGTACTTGGACCAATACTATTTACTTTATATATGCTCCCTTTAGGCAACATTATTAGGAATCAATCCATTAACTTTCACTGTTATGCAGATGATACGCAGTTATATCTATCAATCAAACCCAATGAAATTAATCAATTATCTAAATTACAAACATGTCTTAAGGACATAAAATTCGGGATGACCTGCAATTTTCTGATGTTAAACTCAGAAAAAAATGAAATTCTTGTTCTTGGCCCCAAAAACCTTAGAGACTCATTGTCTAAAGATATAGTCACTCTAGATGGCATTAACTTGGCCTCTAGCACCACTGTCAGGAATCTTGGAGTTATCTTTGATCAGGATTTGTCTTTTAACTCCCACATAAAGCAGACCTCTAGGACTGCCTTCTTTCATTTACGTAATATTAGAAAAATTAGACACATACTATCACAGACAGATTCAGAAAAACTAATCCATGCATTTGTTACTTCAAGGCTGGATTACTGCAACTCTTTATTATCAGGTTGCCCCAATAAGTCCATTAAAACGCTCCAATTAATTCAGAACGCTGCAGCACGAGTACTGACAGGAACTAGAAAAAGAGATCACATCTCTCCTGTACTAGCTACTCTGCATTGGCTCCCTATAAAATGTAGAATTGAATTTAAAATCCTCCTCCTCACCTATAAAGCTCTTCATGGTCAGGCCCCTTCATATCTTAAAGGGCTCATAGTACCCTATTACCCCTCTAGAACACTACGTTCTCTGAATGCTGGGCTACTTGTGGTTCCTATAGTCTCTAAAAGTAGAACAGGAGCCAGAGCCTTCAGTTACCAAGCTCCTCTCCTGTGGAACCAGCTTCCAGTTGTGGTTCGGGAGGCAGACACCCTCACCACATTCAAGAGTAGGCTTAAGACATTCCTCTTTGATAAAGCTTATAGTTAGGGCTGGATCAGGTGAGTCCTGAACCATCCCTTAGTTATGCTGCTATAGGCCTAGACTATCGGGGGATTTCCCATGGTGCACTGAGCTCCTCCCTTCCTCTCTCTTTCTGCACTCATTCATGTCCCATTAATGCATGTTACTAACTTCACTTCTTCCCCGGAGTTCTTGTGCTTTCTCGTCTCGCAGGTTCTTATCGATCCTGGTGGAGCCTCCTGCCATGGTCCTGCTTGACTGCCATTGCCAATACTGTTGTTGCTGTGCACCTGTCTGTCTGTCTGTCTCTCTCTCTCTCTCTCTCTGTCTCTCTCTCTCTCTCTCACCCCAACTGGTCGAGACAGACGACCACCCACCTAGAGCCGGAGGATCTGTCCTAGGTTTCTGCCTTTTAACAGGCAGTTTATCCTTGCCCTTGTCTCCAAGGTCTTGCTCATGGTGGTACTGTTGGGTCTCTGTAATTAATGTTTTAAAGAGTTCGATCTAGACCTGCTCTATTTGAAAAGTGTCCTGAGATAACTTCTGTTATGAATTGGCGCTATACAAATAAAACTGAATTGAATTGAATAGCTAGCACTGACGCTGGTCAGAAGTCAGATAGCACTGACACTGGTCAGAAGTCAGAGAGCGCTGGAGCTGGTCGGAGGTCAGAGAGCGCTGACGCTGGTCGGAGGTCAGATAGCAGTAGCAGTTTGTTTCTTATCTAAAGTGACTTCATAAAAACCTGCTGTAAAGTGTCCGCAGATAAAGTGTCCGTTGGAATATGGACTATAGTGGGACTATTACTGCTTATATTCAAATGTCTGACACACAGCTTCTGTCTGACTGTTGAAAGTCATAAACTCATGTAAATGATGGAAGGTGTATATATCAGCAGACTGAGGACTGGATCATTCTGCTCTCCAGGAGTCTACATGGTGAGTCTGTTTCTGCTCTCTGACTCTGTTACTGTGTCTGACTGATTTCGTTCAGTAGGGATCTGAATTTTGTTCATAGGATGGTGAAGGCACAGTTGGACTGGAGTGTATGTAATAGTCTGATTATTGATTATTGATTCTCCTGCTGGCTGCTGTTGGTTTCAGCAGAGGTTCAGTGACAGTGAGTCTATCCTGCACATAGACAGGCAGACAGGCAGACAGACAGGCAGGCAGGCAGACAGGCAGACAGACAGGCAGGCAGACAGCCAGACAGACAGACTAATATAAGATCATTCATTGTAGATTTCAAGAAGAACTGATCTGATGTTTCTGTGAGTTTCAGGAAGTCATGTGGAAACTCGTCCTTGCCGTTGTCCTCGCTGTCGCTCTGCTCTGTGGTGGATCAGACGGACAGATCGGTTGCAGAAATGAAGCAGATCAACCAGTGGACTGGTAAGACATTCACACATCTGTCTGTCTGCAGTGAGTCTGAGCTCTGTATGAAAGAATGATGAGTCTTCACTTCTACACTCAAAGATCTGATCTTTGTCTTCACTTTAGTTTTGAATGTGGCCCAAATGAGATTCCAGTGTGAACAGGTCCTAAAGTGACCCACATGAGGAAAGTCGATCTAGACCAGAACTCAACCTGCAGCTCTGCAGTGGCTAATATATAAAACATATATATATATATATATATATACATATATTATTCTATTTACGTTGTCATTGTTAATCGTTGTTGTTGGCCTGAAGTGATTCTGACATTGTCCCACTGTACATCTTTTTATAAATGTATGTCTCTCCATCACTCACCCAGTGCTCCAAATCAGCACATGCTGCACATCAGGATAGTGAGACAGGACAGACAGACAGACAGGCAGAGAGACAGAGAGAGAGACAGGCAGACAGACAGACAGACAGACAGACAGACAGAGACAGAGAGACAGTTTTCTTGTTTCCATGGTGATCTTTGATAATGATTTGTCTCTAACAGGTACATCTTGTACAAACTGCCCGCACACACAGGAATTGGTGATGTCTATTACTACATTGATACAAAGGTACAGAAAATGAACACAGAAATGAAACCAGTGAAGCCCATCAACCATCAAGCAGGCGTCCTGGCAAACACTCTGGCTCCTTACTTCAATAAGGTAAGAATCCTTTAATGTTTTGTGTGAACTGCTCCGATGGTCGGGTTCACTCTGACTGCACCAACATTAACGTAAACGCCTCTTAGATGTTCCTGTGCTGTTCAGAGAAAGAGGAAGTGGAATCAATGTACTGTAGATAAACTGGAGGTTAACACGTCAGCAGCAGAGTATTTGTGATACAGAGATCTGAGAGCTGATCACAGGCAGTATCATCCCAGAGCTTTTATTGTTCCAATACGGATGAGTGGGGCAATAGTCTTTCTTTAGCCCACCACTGTAGTAATCCAATCACTATAATCTATCTATAACATTATTATCTAATTATATATTAATACACGTTTTATGTTGCTTTGTGTTGACAACTAGATGTTTAGTTCTTCTTTCTCTGAGCAAAAATAAGAGAAATGTTGCTTCCTGCACGAGGTTGCTCTCTCAAACTGGAAACCTCAGTAAATATATCTAATATAATATGTGTGTGTGTGTGATATGTACAGGAAGCAGGTTCTGGATACATCGCCTACAGTGATCAACCTCCTACGTCTAACGCATTGCCTGAGTTCGGACACAGCAAAGGTCGGTACAAACAACAGATTTTACCTCCGTATGTAAATGAAAGGAAACTGTATCTGACCCTATATATAGCATAGACTCATTTACACATAGTCTAGACTTATTATTATTAGTAGTAGTTTTATCCCCTTTTTCTGTTTACACATTTTAATCAATTGATGGACCAGAGCAGGCTTTAATAACCTCCACTGTGTTCTTTGAAGTACTGAGGGTATAGATAAAGACTATTGAGGGATGCAGTTTAATCAGCACTGAGGTGTTCAGTGTTTATAATAAAGTTAATATTATATAACTATTAAAGGAATACTTCAGTACTGAGCTGATCTCTGTCCAACTGTTCGTGTTCTTCAGGGTTCGTCATGATGGATCAAAACTCTGGATTCTGGCTCTTACACAGCACACCAAGATTTCCCTTCGACAAAGCGAGCAATAATTTCTTTCCTGAAAGTGGAAAAGAAAACGGTCAAACATTCATCTGTGTGACTTTCCCCTATGCAACGTTTAAACAAATAGGTAATGTGTGCAGGTTGTCTTCATACAGTATTACAGTGTGTTCACACAGTGTGAGTCAATGTAACCCGTGTCCTTTGTTTCACTGCTTTCAGGTCTACACCTTCAGTATATCCATGCTCACACATTCGAACATAACATCCCAGATGGCTTTCATAATGAACTCAAAAAGGCTGCAAAGCTCAAGGATGGTACAAAGCTCAAAGAGCCTGCAGATATACCGAAAGAGCTCTACCAAGACTTGAAATCAAACGCTAATCATCCGTTTAGAAGCTTTGTTAAGAAAGTCCTAGACACTGAATCCGATGATGAGGACTGTGACGACGAAAAAAGTGAGATTTCTGCATATTTAAGCAACTAAAGAAATCCACACACTGGTCTTTAAAGGCTGTAAGCCAACCAACATTGTCAGTTCAGACTGTACTCTTTTCTTCAGTATGAGGGTATATGTGTTTCTCTTTATGTGAGAAGGTCAGAGCTTCTTTCTGCTGTCTGATGGTTTCATGTTGTTCTGTTTCTTGCAGAAAGAGATCTTTACTTCCATATTGCACAGAACATCGGCAGTAGTGTTAGAGCCCAGACCTGGAACCAAGGAAATAAATTTGAGAGCGAAGATCCTGTCTACAATGTGGAGTGTATAGAGGTTGGGGGGAAGAAGTGGAACACAAATGATCATTCCAAGTGGTGTGTGTCTGTAGATGATAAAGGTCCAGAATATTGGACCTGTTTTGGTGATTCAAACAGAGCACGCTCCCAGTGTAAAAGACGAGGAGGGGCACTGTGCATCCAAGACAAAACAGTGAATGGAATATTTAAGAATTTCATAAAGCCCAAAGCAGATTGTAAGAAACAATCAGACCAACCATCAGCACCAAAAAAACTCAGACAATGAAATCCTTCAGTTCTCCAGTTTCCTGTTTACAACCTTCATCCAACGACAGTCTCAAATAAATACACACTGTACACAATGTGGACCCGTCTTTATTAAACAATCATACATTTAGAAAACAAATGAAATGGCTGTTTGTTAGATGTTTCAGTGCGAAACAGGAAATGCCTTATTGCTCTTTATTGGCTATTACCGCATTAACAGATCAATAAAGCTGGTGAGGTCAGTGTGATTGAGAGGAATCAAGAGTCATGTTGTCATGAATCAATCATATTAAAGCTCTGAACTCACATCAGTGTGTCTGCTTATTATTGACGTCTGTAAAAGAACTGGACCCAGTAAGACCAGCATGAACTGGGACCAGTTGGTCTCCAGCAGATATAAATACAGTGGAGCACATTGTGATATATTGACCAGTAATGTACTGTAATATATTACATTACTTATATTACATCCTATCACAGACAGATGCAGAAAAACTAATCCATGCATTTGTTACTTCAAGGCTGGATTACTGCAACTCTTTATTATCAGGTTGCCCCAATAAGTCCATTAAAACGCTCCAATTAATTCAGAACGCTGCAGCACGAGTACTGACAGGAACTAGAAAAAGAGATCACATCTCTCCTGTACTAGCTTCTCTGCATTGGCTCCCTGTAAAATGTAGAATAGAATTTAAAATCCTCCTCCTCACCTATAAAGCTCTTCATGGTCAGGCCCCTTCATATCTTAAAGAGCTCATTGTACCTTATTACCCCTCTAGAACACTACGTTCTCTGAATGCTGGGCTACTTGTGGTTCCTATAGTCTCTAAAAGTAGAACAGGAGCCAGAGCCTTCAGTTACCAAGCTCCTCTCCTGTGGAACCAGCTTCCAGTTGTGGTTCGGGAGGCAGACACCCTCACCACATTCAAGAGTAGGCTTAAGACATTCCTCTTTGATAAAGCTTATAGTTAGGGCTGGATCAGGTGAGTCCTGAACCATCCCTTAGTTATGCTGCTATAGGCCTAGACTATCGGGGGATTTCCCATGGTGCACTGAGCTACTCTCTTCCTCTCTCTTTCTGCACTCATTCATGTCCCATTAATGCATGTTACTAACTTCACTTCTTCCCCGGAGTTCTTGTGTTTTCTCGTCTCGCAGGTTCTCATGGATCCTGGTGGAGCCTCCTGCCATGGTCCTGCTTGACTGCCATTGCCAATACTGTTGTTGCTGTGCGTCTGTCTGTCTGTCTGTCTGTCTGTCTGTCAGCTCCTCTCCTGTGGAACCAGCCTTTTTCTGTCTCTTCGTATTAACTATTAAAACATCAGATGAACTCTTTCAAACTCACAACTTTATTTAAAAGTACAAAGATCCAAACTCTGTTCAACAGGATGAAAAATAACTTTATTGTTTTTATCATTTCAGACAATAAACTGTAAATATAAATATTTATAAATATATTTGTTATTGATCTCTGTAAAGGCACAAAACTCAGTCTGATGACGTCATCAGCGAAGTCACATTCATGTGTTCATCTTTGGAAAGGTCAGAGGTCACAGACAGTCTGAGGAGGAGGAGGATGAAGGTCAGACCAGGTCTTTGAGCTCCTGAAGGGGGTCTGACAGGAACCAGTTCCAGTCTGAAGGGTCCAGCTTAAAGAACAAAGCCAGAATCTACAATCCGGGTTCTGGTTCTGGTTCTGGTTCTGGTTCTAAAGTCTGTTGTTTTATTTATGTTCAGTTTCATCTGAACAAACCGCTGATCAGTGTTCACTCTGGCATCAATACATAATCACTACATAATCAATACATAATCACTACATAATACATTATCAATGTATCAACATATAAACATTAATAAACTAAAATATCAAACTGATTAAAGAAGTTCAGTATCAGGGCTCCTGTCAGTGGGGGGGGTTATATCAGGCAGTGAACAGAGTTGATGTGTTAGAAGCAGGAAAAATGTGCAGCATGAGGATCTGATCCACTTTGACAAGAACCACATTGTGATGGACGACTGGGTCAGAACATCTATCATACCTGTGGATTACAGTGTTTGAATATACGAAGAATATTGAGACATATCTCTCTCCATAGAGACAGGGTCATGGGGGGCCGAGGCTCATTGATGCAGGTGGGGAGTGGAGGCTGGCCCGTGTGGTCCGATCCAACAGACGAGCTGCTGTAGCTCAAACTGCTGAAACAGTGAATGCTGGTTCTGATAGAAACGGGTCAGAACACAGAGCAGAGCAGGCTAGCAGGATTATACACAGATTATTTTTGGATTTCTTTACGATATTAATCAAAATGAACCTGTTTCTACTTTGAGCTCACACACAGCTGGAGCTAACGTTAATGTCGGTTAGCACTCTGGCTGATGATGTTAGCAACGTTAGCAACTTTAAACAAGTAGCATTAGTTCCAGAGGGCTAACGTCAGTATGCTAGCTGGACATAATACTAACGTTACACACTGTGATAGCTAATGTTAGCTAACGCAACCTCATCATGCTCATAAAGCGTCCTGCTTATTATAACAGCAGTTAGCATCCGTTAGCTAATGGCTTTGTTTTACAATATAAACAAAAGTTCAAACAGGAAGTCAGACCTGTTTCATCATCACTCGTTATCCAATCAGTGCGCTGCAATCTGCTCGTCCAATCAGATTCTTTAAAACACAAAACGCTGTTCTGTTTGTTCTCAATGATTCACAGTTCCTCCTCTTCCTCTTCCTCCTCCTCATCCTCCTCCTCCTCCCCTCCAGGCTCAGTCCATTAAGGCTGTGTAGTCCGGTTTACTCAGGTGTACCTGCTCCACTTCCTACAGGTGAACCTGTCAGTACCTGTCAGTGTACGTCAGGTGTACCCGGTGTACCCGGTGTACCTGTTACTGTGTACCTGTCTCAGATGTCTCAGATGTCTCAGATGTCTCAGGTGGTTCAGGTGGGTCACTGGGGTCCAGGGGCAGTTTGACGAAGGCGATGGCGGCAAGCTCCTTACAGAACTCCTCCAGGACAATGAGTCCTCTCAGCAGAGTCTGATGCTCCAGTCTGAAGACACAGCCACAGGTAAACAACACAGGTAAACAACACAGGTAAACAACACAGGTAAACTACACAGGTAAGACAGACGGACAGACAGACAGACAGACAAGTACCCAGTGCTGTGGTCCAGTCCCAGCAGGTGTCTCCTGGTGTTCAACAGTCTGTCTGTTAGGTTGGAGACAGACTGGATCCTCTGCATCAACTCCCCCATCAGCTGATAGACAGACAGACAGTTAGACAGACAGACAGGCTGATCTGTTCTGCAGCAGTGAGACAGGTGTGTGTCTGTCTTACCCTGATGAGGACAGAGAAGAGTGACCTGGCGCAGTGAGACAGGTGTATGTAGGGGTTGAGCAGGTACTCGTTCAGCAGAGGATGTCTGAAGGCCGTCAGTCGGGACAGAACGGAAGTCAGCTGCAGGTTCAACTCGTACGGCTGCAGACAGACAGGTGAGTCAGCAGACAGACAGGTGAGTCAGCACACAGACAGGTGAGTCAGCACAGATAGACAGACAGGTGAGTCAGCACAGACAGACAGACAGACAGACAGACAGACAGACGGTCTACCTGCTCCAGGACGCGTCCCAGTCGGTCGAACAGGACCTTCAGTAGAGGACCTTCGAGGAACTCCAGCTCACCTGAGGAGGAGGAGGAGGAAGAGGAGGAGGAGGGAGGAAGACTGAGCGGCCAATCCCAGGTCAGAGACAGAGACTGACACTGAGTCACCTGGAGGAGACAAAGACCAAGATTGGACCTGTTGTCATAGCAACATGTTCTCAGACTTGACAGTCAGCTGATCAGGACTGAACAGGAAGTGAGTTTCAGAATAAATGTCTGTACTGTAAGTATTGGTAGATCTATAATCTATAGATAATGTGTTTCATTAATAAATATTGATTACCAACGTAAACAATATTTATTGCTGATCAAATAATAATAATAATACAAGTGTTAACCAGGTGTTAAACCAGGTGTTAAACCAGGTATTAAACCAGGTGTTAAACCAGGTGTTAAACCAGGTGTTAAACCAGCTGATAAACCAGGTATTAAACCAGGTGTTAAACCAGGTGTTAAACCAGGTGTTAAACCAGCTGATAAACCAGGTATTAAACCAGGTATTAAACCAGGTGTTAAACCAGGTGTTAAACCAGGTATTAAACCAGGTGTTAAACCAGGTGTTAAACCAGGCACTAAACCAGGTATTAAACCAGGTGTTAAACCAGGTGTTAAACCAGGTATTAAACCAGGTGTTAAACCAGGTGTTAAACCAGGCACTAAACCAGGTATTAAACCAGGTGTTAAACCAGGTGTTAAACCAGGTATTAAACCAGGTATTAAACCAGGTATTAAATCAGGTGTTAAACCAGGTACTAAACCAGGTACTAAACCAGGTGTTAAACCAGGTACTAAACCAGGTACTAAACCAGGTACTAAACCAGGTACTAAACCAGGTGTTAAGGGTTACGTTCACTGACCAGAGTGTGAGCGTCGTGGACGTACGACTCGTATCCTCCTTCCTGCAGCAGCTGAGCTGAGCGAACCTGAACAGGAACTAAACACAGGAAGCTACCACACACACACACACACACACACACACACACACACACACACAGAATAATTAATTTTATTTGACAGAAAATATAAAGTTGTATAAAGTTAAAATGATCAGTGATATTGATCATTAACAGACTGCAACCAATAAAACACTGAACAAACAAACAGGTGAGACAGGTGAGTGTGTGTTACCTGTTGACAACGTCAGCAGCTGATCCCAGTACAGACTGAGGAAGAGCAGAGAACTGAGGAAGAGGAGGAGGAAGCAGCTCACTGTCTGACACCAAGCTGTCAGAGAAGAAGAATGGGTCCTCCTCCAGGTCACTGACAGACAGACAGACAGACAGACAGACAGACAGACAGACAGTTACTGACTGCAGTGTCTCTAACAGCCAGCAGGGGGCAGCTCCACTCTGATAGTATTGAGTCTTATGGAGAAGGTGATGTCATACACTGTGGTGATGTCATACACTCACTCGCTGTCCTCGTTGGTCTCAGTGTGTCTGTCGTCCTGTCCTGCAGCAGGTGGAGACAGGTAACTACGACTCTGCAGGAAACTCAACACCAGGACATCCAGAATGTCCCTGTGAGGCTTCTGTAGCAGCTCGTCCACCAGAGACAGAGACACCATACTGATCTGAGGACAGACAGAGACACCATACTGATCTGAGGACAGAGACACCGTACTGATCTGAGGACAGACAGAGACACCGTACTGAACTGAGGACAGAGACAGAGACACCGTACTGATCTGAGGACAGAGACACCGTACTGATCTGAGGACAGACAGAGACAGCGTACTGATCTGAGGACAGAGACAGAGACACCGTACTGATCTGAGGACAGAGACACCATACTGATCTGAGGACAGACAGAGACAGCGTACTGATCTGAGGACAGACAGAGACACCGTACTGATCTGAGGACAGACAGAGACAGCGTACTGAACTGAGGACAGAGACACCGTACTGATCTGAGGACAGACAGAGACACCGTACTGATCTGAGGACAGACAGAGACAGCGTACTGAACTGAGGACAGAGACACCGTACTGATCTGAGGACAGACAGAGACACTGTACTGATCTGAGGACAGACAGAGACACCGTACTGATCTGAGGACAGACAGAGACACCATACTGATCTGAGGACAGACAGAGACACCGTACTGATCTGAGGACAGAGACAGAGACACCGTACTGATCTGAGGACAGAGACAGTCAGTGGTGCTGTGTGTCCCTGCAGGGCTCCTGTAGCTGCACTCACCTGGTCAGAGATGTGGTCACAGCGCTGCAGCAGCAGGTGAGTCAGTGAGTGCGTCCTCAGCAGGAAGTGAACCAGCTGATCCAGCAGAGTCCAGGACTGAACCAGTCTGACCACAGCACACAGGACCGAGGTACAGACCAGGACCACCTGCTCACACCTGGACATCAGAATAACAACAACAACAACAACAACATATATGATAATATCAACAATAATAATGATGATAATTATTATTACAACAACAACAACAACAACAACAACAACAACAACTCACGTGTGCTGCAGCTGAGGCTGAACAACATCCAACAACCACAGCTGATGAACACACTGGGCTAGCTTCACTGCTAACACCTGCTAACACACACACACACACACACACACACACACACACACACACAGAGTCAGGTACTATCAGCAGTGTCTGTGTCTGTGTGTGTCTGTGTGTGTCTGTGTCTGTGTGTGTGTGTACCTCAGGTGCTTCTCTCGTCAGGTGATCCAGGAAGTCGAACCAGGAGAAGAAGTTGGTCATGTGATCAGCAGACTCTGAGCTGAGTTCAGAGCTACAGCGCGAGAACTGAGAGCTGAGGACAGACAACAGTACTCTGATTACACCTGGAACTCATTGATTATCTGATCGGTAGGAAAATAACCTTGACCTTTTTATTAACTGATTAATCAACTGATCACTGACAAACGTTCTCAGATGTTTTTATATCTCAGGAAACCGAATGTCTGTAATAATGATCTGATTAATAATGATCAGTTAACTTTATTATCATGATAATAATCATATTACAGACATGAAACAGACCATCAGAGGAGCTGTATTATAAATCAATATTATTATTATACATCAATATTATTATATATAAACATTATCATTATATATAAATATTATTATATATAAATATTATATATAAACATTATTATACATCATTATTATGCATCAATATTAATTTATATATTAATATATTATATATCAATATTATTATATCAATATAATGTGTAACAAATGTGTGTGTGTGTGTGTGTGTGTGCGTGTGTGTGTGTGTTTACCTCCACGGTGTGTGAGGCCAGTTCTGAACCTCTCCAGGATCCAGATTTTCCAGAGGCAGCAGGGAGTAAAGCTCCAGCAGCCTCCCAGCCAGCAGCTCTGCCAGCTGGGTGTGATCACACAGAATCTCCCCTGAAGATCCAGACTGGAGGGAGGAGAGCAGCAGGAGGCACTCATAGGCCTTCAGACACACCGAGCCCCTCTGAGGACACACAGAGACCATCAGACAGGACAACAACAATCTGACAACAACAAAACAACAATCTGACAACAACAACAACAACAACAAAACAATCTGACTACAACCAAACTACAATCTGACAACAACAAAACAATAATCTGACTACAACAAAACTACAATCTAACAACAACAAAACAACAATCTGACTACAACAAAACTACAATCTAACAACAACAAAACAACAATCTGACTACAACAAAACTACAATCTAACAACAACAAAACAACAATCTGACAACAACAAAACAACAATCTGACTACAACAAGGTGAGGCTGTACTGGTTAGTTGTAGTTAACCAGTTAACTGACCTGACTCTTAGTGAGCTGCAGCAGAACTGACAGCAGACCAGACTCTGATTGGACGTGGCTACAGACAGATGAACCTGATTGGCTGGAGGGCAGTGGTGGTTCTGTCCTGTGATTGGAGGCTTGTGTGCAGAGCTGTGATTGGTCAGAGGTGGGTGTCCTGGCTGCTGGTTGGTCCAGAATCTGAAAACGTTGACAACATCAGGAAGTCACAGGAACACTTCCTGTTCAATGAACTGTTGTCAGACGGGTTCTTCAGTCTGTAATAACTGTTGTTTAATGATGTTCCTCTGTGGACAAACTGTGATCTGTGTATCAGGTCTCTGTCCTCTAAAGCTGTTTTAGTGAATGAATTAATATCAGATTATGATATTGATTTACTTTGTCTCACTGAGACCTGGTTGTCCCACGAGGAGTATGTTAGCCTAAATGAATCCACCCCCCCAGTCATATTAATACTCACATTCCTCGAGGCACTGGCCGAGGAGGTGGAGTGGCAGCCATATATGATTCGAGCGTTTTAATGGACCCTAAACCTAAACTAAATTATAATTCATTTGAAAGCCTTGTTCTTAGTCTTTCTCACCCAAACTGGAAAACACTGCAGCCAGTTCTATTTGTTATAGTGTACCGCGCTCCTGGACCGTACTCTGATTTTATATCTGAATTCTCAGAGTTTTTATCAAGTTTAGTCCTTAAATCAGATAAAGTAATTATTGTAGGTGATTTTAATATTCATGTGGATGTTAACAATGACAGCCTTAGTAACGCATTTATATCATTAATAGACTCAATTGGCTTCTGTCAGAGTGTAAATAAACCAACTCATTGTTTTAATCACACTCTTGACCTTGTTCTATCATATGGCATTGATACTGAACATTTAATAGTCTTCCCACATAATCCTTTCCTTTCTGACCATTATTCAATAACTTTTGAATTCATACTATTAGATTATAAGCCATTAGGCAAAACTTCCTACAGCAGATGTCTATCTGACAGTGCTGTAGCTAAATTTAAGGAGGAGATTCCTTCAGTGTTTAATTCAATGCCATGTCTGAATTTAACAGAGTCCTATAACGACTTTAGTCCCTCTGAAATTGATAATCTTGTCAATGGTGCTGCAGGCTCACTACGATCAACATTAGATTCTATCGCTCATATAAAAAGGAAATTATCAAAACATAGGAAACTAGCACCGTGGTATAACCACCAAACCCGCCACTTAAAGCAAAAAGCTAGGAAATCTGAAAGGAAATGGCGCTCTTCCAAATGATCAGAATATTGCTCAATTTGGCAAGATAATCTTAAAACTTATAGAAAGGCCCTCCGTAATGCCAGAGGAGCCTATTACTCAGCACTTATAGAAGAAAATAAGAATAACCCTAGGTTCCTCTTCAGCACTGTAGCCAGGCTGACAGAGAGTCACAGCTCTATTGAGCCACATATCCCCGTAAACTTAAGTAGCAACGACTTTATGAGCTTCTTCTATGATAAAATTATTACTATTAGAGAAAAAATTAATCACCAACTGCCATCAACAGCTATCAGTGGCTCTCCAAGTTCAGGGACTTCTGTCAATGTAAACTTAGATATATATTTAGACTGTTTTTCTGCTATCAATCTTCATCAGTTAACTTCTGTAATTTCTACATCGAAGCCATCAACCTGTCTGTTAGACCCGATCCCAACTAGGCAGCTTAAAGAAGTCGTACCCTTAATTGGCACTTCTTTACTGGATATGATTAATCTTTCTTTATTATCAGGATATGTACCACAGTATTTTAAAGTAGCTGTAATTAAACCCCTTCTTAAAAAGCCCACTCTTGACCCAGGGGTTTTAGCCAACTATAGACCAATCTCTAACCTCCCCTTCCTCTCTAAGATTCTGGAGAAAGTAGTCGCCAAAGAGTTGTGTGACTTTTTACATAACAATAGTTTATTTGAGGATTTTCAGTCAGGATTTAGAGTTCATCATAGCGCAGAGACAGCTCTGGTTAAAGTTAATAATGACCTTCTGATTGCTTCAGACAATGGACTTGTCTCTGTACTTGTATTATTAGATCTTAGTGCTGCATTTGACACCATTGACCATAATATTCTTTTACAGAGACTTGAGCATCATATTGACATTAAAGGAACCGCACTAAGCTGGTTTAAGTCATATTTATCAGATCGTTCGCAGTTTGTACATGTTAACGATGAATCTTCAATAAATACTACAGTTAGTCATGGAGTTCCACAAGGTTCTGTACTTGGACCAATATTATTTACTTTATATATGCTCCCTTTAGGCAACATTATTAGGAATCACTCCATTAACTTTCACTGTTATGCAGATGATACGCAGTTATATCTATCAATCAAGCACGATGAAATTAATCAATTATCTAAATTACAAACATGTCTTAAGGACATAAAATCCTGGATGACCTGCAATTTTCTGATGTTAAACTCAGAAAAAAATGAAATTCTTGTTCTTGGCCCCAAAAACCTTAGAGACTCACTGTCTAAAGATATAGTTACTCTAGATGGCATTACCTTGGCCTCTAGCACCACTGTCAGGAATCTTGGAGTTATCTTTGATCAGGATTTGTCTTTTAACTCCCACATAAAGCAGACCTCTAGGACTGCCTTCTTTCATTTACGTAATATTAGAAAAATTAGACACATACTATCACAGACAGATGCAGAAAAACTAATCCATGCATTTGTTACTTCAAGGCTGGATTACTGCAATTCTTTATTATCAGGTTGCCCCAATAAGTCCATTAAAACGCTCCAATTAATTCAGAACGCTGCAGCACGAGTACTGACAGGAACTAGAAAAAGAGATCACATCTCTCCTGTACTAGCTTCTCTGCATTGGCTCCCTGTAAAATGTAGAATAGAATTTAAAATCCTCCTCCTCACCTATAAAGCTCTTCATGGTCAGGCCCCTTCATATCTTAAAGAGCTCATAGTACCCTATTACCCCTCTAGAACACTACGTTCTCTGAATGCTGGGCTACTTGTGGTTCCTATAGTCTCTAAAAGTAGAACAGGAGCCAGAGCCTTCAGTTACCAAGCTCCTCTCCTGCGGAACCAGCTTCCAGTTGTGGTTCTGGAGGCAGACACCCTCACCACATTCAAGAGTAGGCTTAAGACATTCCTCTTTGATAAAGCTTATATTCAGGGCTGGATCAGGTGAGTCCTGAACCATCCCTTAGTTATGCTGCTATAGGCCTAGACTATCGGGGGATTTCCCATGATGCACTGAGCTCCTCCCTTCCTCTCTCTTTCTGCACTCATTCATGTCCCTTTAATGCATGTTACTAACTTCACTTCTTCCCCGGAGTTCTTGTGCTTTCTCGTCTCGTAGGTTCTTGTCGATCCTGGTGGAGCCTCCTGCCATGGTCCTGCTAGATTGCCATTACCAATACTGTTGTTGCTGTGCACCTGTCTGTCTGACTCTCTCTCTCTGTCTCTGTCTCTCTCTCTCTCTCTCTCTCTCTCTCTCTCTCCCACCCACCTAGAGCCGGAGGATCTGTCCTAGGTTTCTGCCTTTTAACAGGCAGTGTTTCCTTGCCCTTGTCTCCAAGGTCTTGCTCATGGTGGTACTGTTGGGTCTCTGTAATTAATGTTATAAAGAGTTCGGTCTAGACCTGCTCTATTTGAAAAGTGTCCTGAGATAACTTCTGTTATGAATTGGCGCTATACAAATAAAATTGAATTGAAAAAATTTAATTAATGTTAGTTTGGTTAGTAATGTTAGTTTGGTTAGTAATGGTTATTAATGGTTAGTAATGTTAGTTTGGTTAGTAATGTTAGTTTGGTTAGTAATGTTAGTAGTGTTAGTAATGGTTAGTGATATTAGTAATGTTAGTTTGGTTAGTAAAGTTAGTAATGGTGAGTAATGGTTAGTAATGTTAGTTTGGTTAGTAATGTTCCTTTGGTTAGTAATGTTCCTTTGGTTAGTAATGTTGGTTAATAATGTTAGTAATGTTAGTTTGGTTAGTAATGTTAGCAATGTTAGTAATGTTAGTTTGGTTAGTAATGTTAGTTTGGTTAGTAATGTTAGTAATGTTAGCAATGTTAGTAATGTTAGTTTGGTTAGTAATGTTAATAATGGTTAGTAATGTTAGTAATGGTTGGTTTAATCAGTAATGTACGTTGGAGTTACCTCTAAGACGTATCTGAGTGTGTGCGGATCCTGTTTGACTCTGGAACAGACGGCCAATAAGAACTGAGCTTCCTCCTTCTCAGTGTTGGAACCAGGAAGTGCACAGAGACGAATCAGCTTCTATAGGGCAGAGCACAGGTGATGTCAGACAGTGACATCATCAGCAGAGTCACAGTGGAGTCACATGACAGCCAGCTGGTGTATCTCTACAGCTGATTGGCTTCCTCTGTCTGTTTTAAATAAAGACATCAAATGTCACTAAAATAAAGATTTTACTTTTCAGTTTGTTTGGCGTGGAGGGTGAAGTGAGGGAGTTGCAACCTGTAACTACACCACTATATGGTGCTGAACCTTTCACACTGGTCCTTTTATCCTGAGATATAATATCTGTGAATTTGTTTGTGCCACAGAACAGTGTGACGTCGACAGGAAGCTACTTTTTATTGAAGTCTGTCAACATTAATTTCTCTTATTTAACTTTAAATTCTATATTTTACCCATAAAGTTTTTGGTTAATTGACAAATCTCTGAAAGTGTTTAGAGACTGAACACACAGACGACCTCCAGGACCGATTCACTGTACACACAGATGACCTCCAGGACCTTCTGCACCGACTGACTCACTGTGTGTTTAATATCAGGTGAGTTTACCTGAACAGGTCGGTACACGTTGACCAGCTGCAGGAGAGGCTTCTGCATCTGAGACAACAACCTGGAGAAGAACAACAGCACCTGCTGAACCATACCTGGAGGATACTGAGGAAGAGGAGGAGGAGGAGGAGGTGGTGGAAGAGGAAGAGGAAGTTTAAACATGAGTGTAACATAAAGACAGCAGAATGAAGTCTATCAGACGAACTGTAGCTACCTGAGCCTTTCCCAGAGTACACAGAGTCTCCAACAGTTTGTGCTGCAGCAGATACTCAATACAGGAACCGGTCTCCTCCACGCCCTGTTTATCAATACATCAATCAATACGTCAATCAATACATCAATCAGTACATTAATCAGTACATCAATCAGTACAGCAATCAGTACATCAATCAGTACATCAATCAGTACATCAATCAATACATCAATCAGTACAGCAATCAGTACATCAATCAATACATCAATCAGTACATCAATCAATACATCAGTACATCAATCAGTACATCAATCAATACATCAATCAGTACATCAGTACATCAATCAGTACGTCAATCAGTACGTCAATCAGTACGTCAATCAGTACGTCAATCAGTACGTCAATCAATACATCAATCAGTACATCAATCAGTACATCAATCAGTACATCAATCAGTACATCAATCAGTACATCAATCAGTACATCAATCAGTACCAATCAGTACATCAATCAGTACATCATATCAATCAGTACGTCAATCAATCAGTACGTCAATCAGTACGTCAATCAGTACGTCAATCAATACATCAATCAGTACATCAATCAGTACATCAATCAGTACATCAATCAATACATCAGTACATCAATCAGTACATCAATCAATACATCAATCAGTACAGCAATCAGTACATCAATCAGTACATCAATCAATACAGCAATCAGTACATCAATCAGTACATCAATCAATACATCAGTACATCAATCAGTACATCAATCAGTACATCAATCAATACATCAATCAGTACATCAATCAGTACAGCAATCAATACATCAATCAGTACATCAATCAATACATCAATCAGTACATCAATCAGTACATCAATCAATACATCAATCAGTACATCAATCAGTACATCAATCAATACATCAATCAGTACGTCAATCAGTACATCAATCAGTACATCAATCAATACATCAGTACATCAATCAGTACATCAATCAGTACATCAATCAGTACATCAATCAGTACATCAATCAGTACATCAATCAATACATCAATCAGCAGTAGCTACCTGTTGTTTCTCCTCGTACACCAGGATGTCCAACATCTGTCTGAGCCGCCAGGGGATATCTGTCTGTCTGACAGGACGACTGTCGTCTGCGCGCACACACACACACACACACACACACACACACACACACACACACACACACACACACACACAGAGAGAGGCTGGATGTGATTGGCTGATCAGCTGCTGACAGCTAACAGTGTGTCTGCAGGTAAAGATCCTCACCTGTTGTCTCGATGTAATAATTTGTTATTGATTTCCAATGATCCACAAACGAGTCCAACAGATCCACTGTGGGCTCCCTCTGACACAAAGACAGGTACAGAGAGAGAGACAGGCACAGAGAGAGAGAGACAGATACAGAGAGACAGACAGACAGGTACAGAGAGAGAGACAGATACAGACAGACACACAGACAGGTACAGAGAGAGAGACAGGTACAGAGAGACATACAGACAGGTACAGAGAGAGACAGGTACAGAGAGAGACAGGTACAGAGAGACAGACAGGTACAGAGACACACAGACAGGTACAGAGAGACACAGACAGGTACAGAGAGACAGACAGGTACAGAGAGAGAGACAGACAGATACAGAGAGAGAGAGAGACAGACAGGTAGAGAGAGAGACAGGTACAGACAGACATACAGACAGGTACAGAGACACACAGACAGGTACAGAGACAGACGGGTACAGAGACAGACAGGTACAGACACACAGACAGGTAGAGAGACAGACAGGTACAGACACACAGACAGGTAGAGAGAGAGACAGGTACAGACACACAGACAGGTACAGACACACAGACAGGTACAGAGACAGACAGGTACAGACACACAGACAGGTACAGACACACAGACAGGTAGAGAGAGAGACAGGTACAGACACACAGACAGGTACAGACACACAGACAGGTAGAGAGAGAGACAGGTACAGACACACAGACAGGTACAGAGACAGACAGGTACAGAGACAGACAGGTACAGACACACAGACAGGTAGAGAGAGAGACAGGTACAGACACACAGACAGGTACAGACACACAGACAGGTAGAGAGAGAGACAGGTACAGACACACAGACAGGTACAGACACACAGACAGGTACAGAGAGAGACAGGTACAGAGACACAGACAGGTACAGAGACAGACAGGTACAGACACACAGACAGGTACAGACACACAGACAGGTACAGAGACAGGTACAGAGACAGACAGGTACAGACACACAGACAGGTACAGACAGGTACAGACACACAGACAGGTACAGAGACAGGTACAGAGACAGACAGGTACAGAGACACAGACAGGTACAGAGACAGACAGGTACAGACACACAGACAGGTACAGAGACAGACAGGTACAGACACACAGACAGGTACAGACACACAGACAGGTACAGAGACAGACAGGTACAGACACACAGACAGGTACAGACACACAGACAGGTACAGAGACAGGTACAGAGAGAGACAGGTACAGACACACAGACAGGTACAGAGACAGACAGGTACAGACACACAGACAGGTACAGAGACAGACAGGTACAGACACACAGACAGGTACAGAGACAGGTACAGAGAGAGACAGGTACAGACACACAGACAGGTACAGACAGAGATTAAACATTAGTGACATTAACAGTGTCAATGAATAACTTTAATTAGTTAGTTAACCTTTAATTAATGAATATCTAAATTAATATAATTATTATAAATTCATATAATAATAATAAATGTTGTTTATCAGTGTAAACAATAATTACTAAAGACTTTATTACAGTTTTATAACTTTACCATTAAAATAACTGTATTTATTGATCATTGTTGTTTTACACTGTAAATATATTTAATCATTAAAAAGAGTTTATGTTAAATTAAAGCTAAAAACTATTTGAATGACAGGAAATCAATAACTCTTTATATTGATTAGTTTTTATTTATTCCTTTATTTCGTTAAATGATAATGATCATTTATTGATTCCTACTGAGATATAATATGTTCTCTGATCGATAATCAATGAGCTGGAACCAGCAGAGACTGTCTTCCACGTCACCACTCACCTGCTGCAGGTAAACAGCTGTTAGCTTTAGCCGTTAGCTTCATTAACTTTAATGAGTAAGTCTCAACCTGTCTGTCCTCAGAGAGACAGACACACTAACTGTCTGTCTGTAGCTCTATTGAGAAGCTAGCTGTGCTAACAGAAGCTAGCTGTGCTAATGCTAACTAGCTGCTAACTCACCGTCTCCAGCGCGTGCAGCAGCATGTTGGTTAGCTTACTGAACGCCTCCATTCTCCCGCCAAAACCGTACCACAGCCGCTGTCCGTCAACCGGTTGTTTACCGGTTGTTTACCGGTTGTTTACCGCCTGTCTGCGACATGTTGACAACCACAACAACAGCTGACCGCTCCGCGTCAAGCTACAACTACCACATCACCAACTTCCGGACGGAAGTTTCAAAATAAAACAAGACAGGCCAATGCGTCTCATTGCATCCGGTTAAAAGATTTCAAAATGAAAGCCTCCTGAACGAGCTGGAGGCAGAAGTTTTTAATGGTGATTTATTTTAAATATGATCACATAATTTAAATGTTAGAGCAGTGACATGAATCCCTACAGTCTGAATAAATGATGGCGGTTCTTTGTGTTTCCAGGTGGATGCTGGGGTCAGGTGGTCTGCTCAGACCTGTAACTCAGGTGAGGAAGGGGGTACCTGTTTATTCTTTGTTGTTATTCAGCAGGTTGAGTTCAGGTGTATCAGGTCTCATTACAGATCTGACTGCTGCTCCTCCACAGGACCCTCTGGAGATCGGTCCCTGCAGACTCACCTGTACATCTGTACACTGTACACTGTACACTGTACACCTGTACACCTGTACACCTGTATACCTGTACACTGTACACCTGTACACCTGTATACCTGTACACAGTATACCTGTACCTGCAGTATAGTGTGTACTTGTACCTCCTGTTGTTGAATGTTAATCATATAAAATGAAGTAGAACTGTAACAGTATTCCAGCTGGGTGTGGACCAGTGGGGGAGGGAGGGGGAGGGGCTGTGAGGAGGGAGGGGGAGGGCACAGGTAGAGTTACCTGCAGCCCCTCCCTCCTCCTCTCCGCCCCTCCCCCGTCAGTGTCTCTCAGGTGGAGCTCGTTCTTCATCAGTTTCTCTCAGCAGCGTCTGACGATCACTGACGGTGAGTTCCTTTCTCTGATCAATCGATCAATATCATTATTATTGTTATTATTGATCTGTGCTTTCTTTCACTGGCTCAAAGTTCAACCTGTAAACATCTCAAATCAAATGTTTGTCTTCAGTCAACAAACAAACGTTTGTTCAAACTGATAAAAAAAAACAGGAAACAGATTTTACTGGACGAACTCTTCATCATCTTCATCTTCTTCAGTTTGTTTGTTTCCTGTGTGTTTGTCAGCTCATCGGCTCAAATTACCTCAAACATTCATCTTCATCATCTTCTTGTTTATCTTCATCCTGCAAATGAGCCTGATGAGACGTTCACTGACTGTGGGGATTCTCACCGTTTGCTGCTGTTTGTCTCTTGAAAGCCTGAAACTGCCTGTCTATCTCTCTGTCTATCTCTCTGCCATCTGTCTGTCCATCTCTGTGCCTGTCTATCTCTCTGCCCGTCTCTGTGCCTGTCTATCTCTCTGCCCGTCTCTGTGCCTGTCTATCTCTCTGCCCGTCTCTGTGCCTGTCTATCTCTCTGCCCATCGCTCTGCCCGTCTCTCTGCCTGTCTATCTTTCTGCTAGTCTATCTCTCTGCCTGCTTGTCTCTCTGACTGTCTATCTCTCTGCCTGTCTCTCTGCCCGTCTCTCTGACTGGGTGTGTCACTTCCTGCTTCCTCGGCTGCAGCAGAGATGTTTAGTGTTGAGAAGATGAGTCACTCTGCTGACAGACGAACATGAACTAACCACAGAAACTTTTCACTGTTTATTTATTTTGTTTGTCAACAACAAACACAAACAATAAAATAGCAGAAAAATAATCTTCAAGTTTACAATCTGTCTTTCATAGTCAATATATAATTTATATATATAATTTATATATTGACTAATGATAAATATACAATTTATATATTGATTAATAATAATAAATATATAATTTATATATTGATTAATAATAATAAATATATAATTTATATATTGATAACTGATGAATATATAATTCATACTTTCAACAGTTTTTTTAAAATAACGGGAAGTAAAGTATTTTAATAACAAAAAATTATTTCAACAAAACAAAAACTTTTATTTTGATTTAATGAAAACAACCTTTAAATTATGAGTTTGATCAGTTTATATTTACAGTGTGGCTCCGCCCCAAAGGTGACATTACACTATTGTGTGGCTCCGCCCCCTACAGGTGACATCATGGTGTTCCATTCTGAGTTTGAGCGTGCGGGCCGGAGGGCGGGGCTTCAGCTGTGGCGGGTGGAGAAGATGGAGCTGGTTCCTGTTCCTGAGAGTCTGTACGGAGGGTTCTACAGCGGAGACGCTTACCTGGTTCTCCACAGCACCGAGAACCGACGGGGAACCCTGCAGTACGACCTGCACTACTGGCAAGGTACTGCAGTACTCTGTGTACTCTGTACTAGCACTGCAGTACTCTGTGTACTAATACTGCAGTACTCTGTGTACTAATACTGCAGTACTCTGTACTAATACTGCAGTACTTTGTACTCTGTACTAACACTGCAGTACTCTGTGTACTAACACTGCAGTACTCTGTGTACTAACACTGCAGTACTCTGTGTACTAATACTGCAGTACTCTGTGTACTAATACTGCAGTACTCTGTACTAATACTGCAGTACTCTGTGTACTAATACTGCAGTACTCTGTACACTAATACTGCAGTACTCTGTACACTAATACTGCAGTACTCTGTACTAATACTGCAGTACTCTGTGTACTCTGTACTAACACTGCAGTACTCTGTGTACTAATACTGCAGTACTCTGTACTAATACTGCAGTACTCTGTGTACTAATACTGCAGTACTCTGTGTACTAATACTGCAGTACTCTGTATACTAATACTGCAGTACTCTGTGTACTAATACTGCAGTACTCTGTGTACTTTACTAACTGCAGTACTCTGTGTACTTATACTGCAGTACTTGTGTACTCTGTACTAATACTGCAGTACTCTGTGTACTAATACTGCAGTACTCTGTACACTAATACTGCAGTACTCTGTACTAATACTGCAGTACTCTGTACTAATACTGCAGTACTCTGTGTACTGTACTAACACTGCAGTACTCTGTGTACTAATACTGCAGTACTCTGTACTAATACTGCAGTACTCTGTGTACTTGTACTAACACTGCAGTACTCTGTGTACTAATACTGCAGTACTCTGTGTACTAATACTGCAGTACTCTTGTACTCTGTACTAACACTGCAGTACTCTGTGTACTAATACTGCAGTACTCTGTGTACTAATACTGCAGTACTCTTGTACTAACACTGCAGTACTCTTGTACTAATACTGCAGTACTCTGTGTACTCTGTACTAACACTGCAGTACTCTGTACTAACACTGCAGTACTCTGTACTAACACTGCAGTACTCTGTACTTATACTGCAGTACTCTGTACTAATACTGCAGTACTCTGTGTACTCTGTACTAACACTGCAGTACTCTGTGTACTAACACTGCAGTACTCTGTGTACTAAACTCAGTATTTTACTGCAGTACTCTGTGTACTAATACTGCAGTACTCTGTGTACTCTGTACTAACCTCGCAGTACTCTGTGTACTTATACTGCAGTACTCTGTGTACTAACACTGCAGTACTCTGTGTACTCTGTACTAAACCTGCAGTACTCTGTGTACTAATACTGCAGTACTCTGTGTACTAACACTGCAGTACTCTGTGTACTAATACTGCAGTACTCTGTACTAATACTGCAGTACTCTGTACACTAATACTGCAGTACTCTGTGTACTAATACTGCAGTACTCTGTACACTAATACTGCAGTACTCTGTGTACTAACACTGCAGTACTCTGTGTACTAATACTGCAGTACTCTGTGTACTAACACTGCAGTACTCTGTGTACTAATACTGCAGTACTCTGTGTACTCGTACTAACACTGCAGTACTCTGTACTAATACTGCAGTACTCTGTGTACTCTGTACTAATACTGCAGTGCTCTGTGCTAATACTGCAGTACTCTGTGTACTAACACTGCAGTACTCTGTGTACTAATACTGCAGTACTCTGTGTACTAACACTGCAGTACTCTGTGTACTCTGTGTACTAATACTGCAGTACTCTGTGTACTCTGTACTAACCTCGCAGTACTCTGTGTACTAATACTGCAGTACTCTGTGTACTCTGTACTAACACTGCAGTACTCTGTACTAATACTGCAGTACTCTGTGTACTCTGTACTAATACTGCAGTACTCTGTACACTAATACTGCAGTGCTCTGTGCTAATACTGCAGTACTCTGTACTAACACTGCAGTACTCTGTGTACTAACACTGCAGTACTCTGTGTACTAACACTGCAGTACTCTGTGTACTAATACTGCAGTACTCTGTGTACTAACACTGCAGTACTCTGTGTACTCTGTACTAACCTCGCAGTACTCTGTGTACTAATACTGCAGTACTCTGTGTACTAACACTGCAGTACTCTGTGTACTAATACTGCAGTACTCTGTGTACTAACACTGCAGTACTCTGTGTACTAATACTGCAGTACTCTGTGTACTCTGTACTAACACTGCAGTACTCTGTACTAATACTGCAGTACTCTGTGTACTCTGTACTAACACTGCAGTACTCTGTACTAATACTGCAGTACTCTGTGTACTCTGTACTAACACTGCAGTACTCTGTACTAATACTGCAGTACTCTGTGTACTCTGTACTAATACTGCAGTACTCTGTACACTAATACTGCAGTGCTCTGTGCTAATACTGCAGTACTCTGTGTACTAACACTGCAGTACTCTGTGTACTAATACTGCAGTACTCTGTGTACTAATACTGCAGTACTCTGTACTAATACTGCAGTACTCTGTGTACTCTGTACTAACACTGCAGTACTCTGTGTACTAATACTGCAGTACTCTGTGTACTAACACTGCAGTACTCTGTGTACTAATACTGCAGTACTCTGTGTACTAATACTGCAGTACTCTGTGTACTAATACTGCAGTACTCTGTACTAATACTGCAGTACTCTGTACTAAACTGCAGTACTCTGTGTACTAATACTGCAGTACTCTGTACTAATACTGCAGTACTCTGTGTACTCTGTACTAACACTGCAGTACTCTGTGTACTAATACTGCAGTACTCTGTACTAATACTGCAGTACTCTGTGTACTAATACTGCAGTACTCTGTGTACTAACACTGCAGTACTCTG